CGGGGCTTGACTCCGGCGCCACAGACAGGGGGAACAAGCTGAAGAATGCAGTGGTCGATCGGAGAGAGAAACACCAGTCAAGATGGATTTCAGAGAGGTAAAAGACCAGATTAGTCAAGGCACAAAATAATTGTCTCGGAGCCCTGCAGTAAGCTGAGGTGGAAAAAAACAACAGAATTTTTTGAATTATTCAGATAGAAGCAGGAAGACAGATGTGGCCCAGAAGGGCAGTTCTTTGCGCAGATTAAGCTTAAGATGATGCTCAGATTACACACATAAGGAAGAGTGATTTTTTTTTTTTTTTTTTTTGCTAGCAGCCCCCAGGTTCTCCAACAAAGCTTTGATTGAAGTGCTTTGCTGCTGGACCTGCTGCATATTCCCTACCAGACATAAGTCAAGCTGCTTAGCATTCAGCATGTCTGTTGTTTTTTCTTTTGGATACCTGAAATGTGTCTTATGAAACTTTTCAACCTGCCAGGGAGGCTGCAAAAACACATGTAATGATAGATGAAGAAATGAAGTCTGGAATTGAGGGTAACATTAACTCTCAGAAGACATTACTTTTCTGCTGCCATTAAAATCCCATTTTTCTCCATTTCATTTACGTGCCTGTTGCAGTTCACCTTGCTAGGAAGGAGAACCATGGGGGCACTTCTGCAGCCACAGGGAAGGCAAACCTGAAGCAAAACACCACCCAAGGAATCGATGACTACTCTCTTGCTCCCGTAGCCAGATCTTCTCTTTTGAAAGGGTCCTCGCTGCCACATTTTGTTTGCTCACTCAAGTGGAATTGGCCAGCTCACTGTTATCAAACACAGCGCTCGCCCTGCACAGACACACCGTGGTTTCTCTGGAAATCCATTAACTGCTGCTGGCTACGTTAATACACAGGCTCGATCCTGATAAAGACGTTAGCAGCTGTTTTAGGCAACGAACCTAGACCTCTGAACAAAACTACAGCCTTTTATGTCTGTGCAGTCTTTTCTTAGTTTATCTACAGCACAGAGCTTCTGAACCTTAGCGCTAGACCAAATTATGCAGTCATTTCAAACACTGCATTAAAATACCATCCAGCTGCTATAAAAGGAAAAATGAATGGTTCCAGGAGGCAGCTCCACAGCAGACAGCCCACTGTGGGTCTGAAGATAAGAGGCAGCTGCCAGAGGTAAATATAAGCATTATTTATGGATGTGGTGTCCTTGCTCATCTGAATTTCGACAGCCATTGGAGATGCAGACTGGATGTGTACAGGAAACTCGCTCCCCACAGGGCTCAGCTACACAGGGGGTCCAATCAAGCCCACGTTTGCCATTAGTTCCAAAAAAAGGAGTGCAACTACAAAGCAGGATTGCTTTTTACCTTGTAATAGCCTGAGGACAGGCACCTTGAACTGGGAACTCTGTTCACAGTCTTTCCACTCCTGGTTGCATCCCTGCTCAATAGGTGCTGCTGTCACACATCTTGTATCCACCTGTGTGACACAAGTAAGATGAAATCTGTACATGTTGGGAAGAACTTGCTCAGCTGAAAACAGCGCCAGCAGCTGCTGGGGCATAGGAGGGCAGTGCTTTTGCTTTTTGCTGAAGTCTCACCTTCCTATTGGAGTTGAATAATTATATATTAACCTGATTGAGATCCTCCAAGGCCACCCATCTTATGAAAAGAAGCACAGAGTTGACAAAGCCAGCATTTCTGCCTAGCTGAAAAATGGCATGCAACTCTTAAAAATAAAGCCAACAAGAAATGTTGTAATAAAGAAGTACAATATGAATAAACACAGAGACAGTTGCAGCTGTCATCTTCAACGCCATGGGCTTCAGGCCACTGGGATCTCCTGTTATAAATTGTCATCACAAACACTGCTAGAGGACATTTTGCAATACCTTTTACTCAAGCGTCAAAAGATGTCAGAATAAAATATCAAGCTTTACTTAAATTACTGCAGAGACGAACAGAGCAGGCTTACAAAAGGAGTCTGATATAAATTTAGAACTGTTATGAAGGAGAATGTTTCAAACGAGGAGCTGCCAACTGCTCGAACCACAGTTTCAAAAAAAGCCCCGAACCACACAACAGTGTTTCTAATCAGCGTACAATAACAACGCAGCGAGCAAGCATGCGGATGGGGAGGAATGCGGCATCGCTGCAAATCCAACAAAGGCATCCTCTTTGTGGGGCTGCAGCTTGGGACAATCGAAGAGAAAAGACTTCACTTTGTATAATAAAGCCCGATCTCAGCTCTGATGCTTCCAGGCTGGCTGCATCTCCTCTGCCCATCCAAGACTATTAAGGTGGGGTGGCGATGGTCACGGTGGGACCAGGAGGTTACAGACAGCACAGATGCTGGGCTGTGATCAGACAGAGAGCATTTGCCATTTCACATACGGTATTTCCCACGTCAACTTGTCAGCCACACATATTCCAATGCTGTTTGATGGAAGAGATCAGCAAACACCAGCCCTTGTGCAGAGCTCACAGAGAAACAATTCCCAAACCTGGGCTGGAAGCACGTGGGAACCTCATCAAAGCTCAAAAACCCATTCAAAATGTAAGATCTCAAGGCTTTCTATGTATGAAAAACACTTATTTTAAATTAGAGCTCCTTCCTTATAACTCCTCTCCAATAACCAAAGCCTAAGAAGCACAAGACAACCAAGATCTGTACATGCCTGGTCTGCAGCAGGGGACACACCACCTTGCTCACTGTACCAAGGAATCTCATCAGCAGTACTGGAGGTAGATGCCCAGTGTTACCCCCAGAGACCCCAAATTTGCTATTTCCACTCACAGTTTACACAACAGGTTTCAGGACAATTAATCTCACTTCTTAGAGTCCCTTCTTTCAGCGTAACGTTCGCTGAGTTTTTGCGCTTCTTTTAGTGACTGCTGCTCTGTCCAGACATTTGGGTGCAGGCTGCACATATAAAATTCTTCAAAGCCTTACAAGGCACTTGGTAGATCCAAGCTGCTCTTCTTGATGGTGTAAAAGAGCAAGTATATGCCAAGATAACATTTTTACAGTCCTTTTTTGAGAGCCACTGCAGTGTAGCCTTTTCCAGACAAATTCCACTGAATTCCACTAAAACTTTCAGACTATCAATGATCTATGAAAAAAGCATCAAGCATTTTAGCATCTGGAAAATAATGTAGCTGCTACACACATCATTGCTTTATCAGGAAAGACAGCTATGAGCTGTAGGAGTCGTGGTGGGACAGTCATGTCTGCAAATCCTGAAAACCTCAAGCACTCCATCCATTTGAGCCAACTGTAATGCTCTTTTGTAAAACACACAAAAATAACCAGTCTCTTGGTTCCCACTAAGGCCAACTGTGCTGCTGGTCCAATTAGTCATGAGTGGGACGATCAGATAGCAGTGTCCTGTGCAAAACCCTAAAATGTCCCACAAATCCTACGCTTCCTTCCTCATTCAGACAGATTGGGATGTCTCCTCTCCTGCTCCCCAAGACGAGGAGACCTCTTACTGCAGTGAGGTCGCAGTTAGAGCAGCTCAAATCCTGCTCTAGTGTACAGAGCAAAAGCCAGTCGGTGGTGAACCACAGAGCTCACTGGCAAATACATTTTGGCAGTCAGGGCACTAATGCTGTAGGGACAGTGGACAGAAAGCTCATGCAATGCCCATCTTTTCTCAATGAAATTCATGGCTTCTTACTTAGTGATTTAGTCATGAGATTACTTGAGAGCATAATCATCATGTAATGAGCCACTGGAGTCTGATGCTCCTCTGTCTCCCCCCTCACCACACCCTGATTTTTTTTATTTTTTTTTTAAACCAGGTATTAGTAACAAACCTTTATCAATGAATACCTGAGATTTGTGAGCAGAGACATCACTAAGAACAAAGATACAATAAAAGCATATGTGTCCTTTGTTAGGAGTGATTCAAACTTTGCACAAGGGAAATAATTTCCAACATGAGAGGTTGGTTTCAGTTACAGAACTTGAACACACGATCTCAAAAGGGGAAAAAGAACAACAACACAAAAATCAAAATATTTACAGACGACCCTAAGTACATCACATTAAGCATTTACCTATTTCCAACATAACAGACTGATCTCACGGACATTGCTCAAGGCGTTGCATGTTCTCACACAACCATATGACAACAAGAAGGAATCAGCTTGGGCCATGCTCTACGCTCTTAAATTGAGGAACACAAGAACAGTAGGCGCAGAAACAGCCAAAACAAGTCTTGCAGCAGAACAGAGCTGATATACTTTGGTGGATATAAGAAGAAAACAGAAGTATTTCTGTTTACCAGCCACAGAATGTAATTCAGAATTCCTGGAAACCTCATATTTAGGAAAAACATAAATTTGCTGACATTGTAATCCAAGTCAGACCATAATAAAGAAGTTACTTCATGCAGTGCCATCCCAAAGCTAGCAGCAGCACTGACTACCCTTGGAACAAGCTGAGAGAGGCTGATTGAGTCGTGGCCACCCCAAAGCACCATGCAAGGGCCAAGGACATGAGAGGTCTGTAAAAGCGATAATGGGAATTTTCTGCAGAGGAACTCCAGCTCCTCCCATACAGGAACTGTGACTAATGTAGGCACTTCAGAACCATGCCAAAAATGTCCTGGAGGTCTTAGATCACCTCTCTGTTGTGGGATGAATCAGTGCTGCAGTTTAGGGAATGATGTATGAAGACTACTACTTAACTCATATCACTCACATACATTCAGTGATGCACAACTCTGCTCTGGAGAACATTTACACAACTCTAAGTCATCAAAACAGTTAAACACAATCACAGAACAACACGTAAATCTGCTTTCCAAGAACAGTGTAGAAGGTAAAGTCAACTGTTTTCTAGCTCCACACACATCAGCTTCTCCTACATTTAAATAAAGTAAGTAAATAAATAAATACTAAAAGAAACTCTAGCAGAGCTAAGAGTACGTTTCAAACTCATTTCAAAGCTTTGAAAACCATCCCAAGAGTTTTCCTTTTAAAAATAAACATCGTGTACAGACCTCTGCTAGTTTGTAGGGTAAGATGAGCTTCTCTCCTACTGTCACTGTCTTTCTGGTAACCAGGGCCTCAAAGAGCATTTCTTCTTTTACCTGAAACAAAAATCTTGATGTTAACAATTATTCTAGGAATAAAAAAAAAAAAAAAAAATCCATTCTGTTTCACCAGCCTTCACAAAGTTAATGTTCCATGCATAAGAATGAGCTAGATATTGGGAGAAGATAACTCAGCCCATAAATCCAGCATCAGAAAACAGACACCACAGTATTCAAGGGAACCTGATTTTCTGCATTCAGCCACCTCATTTCTAGCAAGTTCCCATTGGTCTCCTTTGTTCTTGCTGTAGCTCCTCCCTCCCATGCTTTTTTCCCCTTTGTTGGCAAAATAACTCAACTTTCTAGTGTTATCAAGATGACATAATACAAATTACTCTACAAACAAACCAAACAGTGTCACTGGTTTAAGAGATATATCTGGATGGGATTGGGTTTTAAATTCTTGTTTTGTTTTCTGTTTTTCAGGGTGGGGAGAAGGGAGGAATTAGAAGGAGAAAGAAACCTTTTGAAAAGAAAAGCACCTGATATTTGCTCTGATATTCACACCTGATATTTAACTCCCTGAAGAAACCAGTTCCCAACCAGGCGACAACCACTTGCTAATCAGCCATTTGCAGGAAAGGCAGTTGTATAAACACAGACACTTGGGCAAACAGGTAAATGGTGCCAACAAATTAAACATTCCCTGCTACTAATTGTCAGGAGAAAGCCTCCTGTGCCCCAAGATTCAAGTTCCTGTTATTTTCATCTTCTTGAGAAATCCCAAAGCGCGTCCTGTCTACCAGAACAGATGATGATATGCTCATGCATAAGTTATACCTAAATACTTTGAGTTATTCACTCCTCTCTTTGCTAAATTTCAATGTCAAAACTGAAATTCTTCATCTTGGTGAAAACCTTTGAGCCAGGACTTAGCAGCTATACCTTGACCCAGAGATACTGCCATAGGAGGATATGTAACACGGGCTGTACAAGCTGACTGCCCTAACTGAACGGCCCAATGTGGACACCAGACCTGTTCACATCACCTCTATGGAAAGTTAGAAGCACCAAATCCATATTTCTGAAACCATCCTAGGCCTTTTTTTATTTTTTATCTATTTTTAAACACAGGTACATTCATTTATGATTTGGCATTGATGATGCGAAACTTAGCAGTTGATGTACTTTGGCTTATTGGTTTAACCCAATAATGAGTGTTGAGAGCAATGCAAACAAGCCAGTTGAGCCTAAGCTCACAAACCATTGCAAAAATTATTCCACTCTGGACAAAAAAAAAATATTTCTTTGTACCAGATGTACTGTCACAGGGTTTTCCCTGATACACTCCAATGAATTTGTATACAACTTTTTTTTCATGCAACACCCAGTAACAAAATCTTTTTGTGCCAGGGTGAGAAGTAGAAAACAAGTCACCAGGACACAGCCTTCACCTACCAAGTCCTTACCGTGAGGAATCAAACTTCAACACCTTGAGATTAATCTCACTTGTGCTCAGTAATACCCTAGAGCCCCCAGTTATTGCAATTTTATTTTGCCTTTCAAAACAAAGTGGGGGAAAAAAAGTATCTTCTGGTTAGCCCGGAAATCCACAGCAAGTTTTCACATTTGGTTTCTATTCCTCTACATACAGCAAAATGGCAATTTGCTAGGCTCTCCAGCCAGAACGACTGATCATTTTCTGCGTGTGCCACTAAAGCACGACCTGAATCGACCCAGTCCTCGTCTTGGCTCCAGGTTCCCACTCAGTTCTTCTTCAGTCCCAGGCTCCAGTCTCATCGAACGCAGTTGGGTCATTTGCTGACTCGAGCACGCAGCCAAAAGCAAAATGTGGACAATTTTTCAGCAGCTTGCAACTGCGGGACATCAGCTGACATCCCTCAATTGCAAAGCCTGGAACAAAAGTGAGTTTTACACCGTCCATTTTGCCGCATGAACAGCAAATGCGCTGAAGTAGGAACAAGGGAGGACTGCTGCAAACCCACAGCCTGCGTGCTGGCTTTTTATGTTTTTTTTTTTTTTAAAAAAAAAAAAAAGCAATAGGCAGAGGGGTATCAGATGGTTACTAATCAAAACAGTCCAATGCAATATTCTTGGTGCCCAGACTAAACAGCCTGAATGCTTCCAAGTCTCAGATTTGTCAGTAAACATAGGCATTTTAAATGGTTTTAACAACTACCCGTACCCTTCGCCCTCCCCATCTGTCTGTGGTTCTCCATAGCTTCCTCTTCCCTGAACTCTCTGGATGGGTAAGACCTGCAGATGTGTGTCCTACATCCCAACCCTCCTGATGATCATTTCATGAGAAAACATACTTGGCAAGGATGGGATATTCAGCTCCAGATGGGGATCCTCCAGGTCTCTGCCCACAACTAACGCCCAGCAGAGCTTGGTCTGATTACTTCACTGTTGAGAGTCAATACCTGACAAGGAGCACTGCTGACTTGGCCAAATTTTAATTGAAGGTCAGAGCTTTAAGGTGTCTGATTCCTGATATCCATAGGAGCTTTCTAAAGATGAATTCAGCATATGGCAATGACTAAAGATGCCTGGTGCACATGGTTGCTGTTTCCAAAGCATGCATCCCGAGCTTCCTCTGGCATTCAATATGCATGATATACTAAAATGGAGACAAAACCAACCTAGGAGATGAGCAAAGAAGAAAACACAACTTATTCCTTTAGTTTGTTCCCTGGGAGCCATACTTTTGGGTTACGTTTCATGGACATTTGCATTCCAGTGCTAAAAGGGCAAGTCTCAAAAAAGCTACATGGCCTGTAGGAGTTCCTACCTTAATTACAGGGACAAAACACAGATGTTAGAGTTGAATGCCACATGCAAGTTGAACGGATGCTGGGATGGCTGGTTGACTAGACCTCTAAAACACAGTTAAGGATGACCTCCAACCCTACCACTGTTGTAAATGTCAAGAGAGGGAGGCAGTAGGGACAACAGGGACAGCCACGCAGCCTCCCGCAAAGGCTGGATGGGAGCCCTGGCGGGCTGTGATTACTTCTGTAATGCTAGGGTATTGTGTTATGAAGTAAAAGGAACCATTTCCAGCTTGAGAGCAAGAAATCTTATCTTTTTCCTCTTTCCTTCTAGTTGCTTCCATATTTGAGAACAGGATTGAGATGCTCAGTGCTCGTTCGAAAGCTGCTTGGTATGGAACGTAAATACAGACAGTGCTAGGATGGACTTCATTTTCTATCAGCTCTTCCTGAGAAAAAGCAGAACTTTCTATTCTGACTTTCTTTCAAGCCAAGCTATCTGCCTGGAGATCTGGCTCAGAGCTTCACAACCCCAAACTTAACCGGAGAAGGGATGCAGAAGAAAAGGCTGGATGCCATGCTGAGCGCAAAGCGCCTGCTGCCCCATAAACCTCGCCTCCTTTTCCCTGCTCTGTTACATTCTGAGATGTCTATCACATGAGGAGCACATGTCTGTGGGATTCCTGTGCAAAGCCAAAGATAACTTTTTAGTAGAAAAAAAGCTTCAGCACAGTTTCCTGGGGAGGTAGATGTTGGCTGCAAAAGCCAACATGGTCAATGTAAAAGAGAATTGGCAAAACTAATTTTGGATAGCTCATAACTTATATTTACCGCTATTTACATTGAGTCTGGTTATCTAAGCCGAATAACTGAATATAAAACTATTCAGTGAAGACAGAATTTGTCTTCCTTATTCAGCGCTCTCCATGGAAATCATTTCCAGTATTAGTAAATGCACATAATTAAAACATTCTTGCTCTTCTAATGAAAAAAAATAGTCAACTTTAGGGTGATCTAACACTTGATTGTTTCTAATGGATGACTTTTGATAATTATTCTTAGGAATTCACAAATCAGAAACATACCACAAAAGTTTAATAAAACCACAGATCCTTGCCGACTTGCAGCCCAAAGATTGAGTTCAGCTACGAGTTCTGAACAAACAGCTCCTCAAGCTGAACTACAGCTCAGGGTGAATTACACATCCAAATACAAAACCCCTGCTGTTTTAAGTCCATGTTGCGAGGCTGGAGAATTTTTTTGTTTGGACTGATGGAAAGAGATGGATACCAATAAGCCCACAGAAGGAGCACTTCCAGGTTTTTCCCCAGAAGAGTTTTACACAATCCTCCATCGTTTCTGAAGAGGATTTCTCCCTCTGCCTGCACTAATTTCACTGCTTGCACACACTTCCACGTCTGTTCAATCCATCAGGCAGAACTGACATCACGCTACAGCGCCGTATTTCAGCAAAGTTTAAACAAAGGCCGAGAAAAACCTGCCAAAACCCTCACATAATCCGCACGCTATGTCTATTCTTGAGGAAAGGAATCAGGGTCTTACTGTAAATGAAACAATGATCCACGGAGTCTGGCCAAAATCCTATATTGCAATTTGCTTTTTCAACAAATGCTGGTCTGAATGTTTTAATAAACTAAAAACATATTGGACTGGGCTGTCAGTATCTAAGAAAAATAAAATCCATCTCAGGTCATCAACTCCTCCCAGATTCCTTAAAAAATCTGCATATTAGCTTCATTTTATAGGATCAGAAGTCTCTTGATACAACGGAAGGATAGGTATCAGAAGAAAGAAAGAGAAAATGAGAAAAAGAGGGAGAAAAAGAAGGGTGCTGTTGCATTAACTATTGAAGGTTCCCCAATTGTCCTTAGAAACTCAAAGACTCCATTCTTTCTAATGTAGAACAGCAAGCTCATGATACTTTTGGTCAGACTGGCCTTTGGAGGGGGGAAAACATGGCTAATTTTTCGTATTTGTTTCAGTTCAGACACTCTGGTTGTTCTTCTCCCCAAGAAAGCAACCACCCACTTGGTTATGTGCATCAGGACCGCTGGATCCCTTCTTGGCAGCTCTCAGATCCAACCAATTCAGTGCCCTTTCACCAAACCCAATTAGATTTTTTTTCTTCTCTTCTTCTCATCAAATCCTTGAATGGACAAATCGAGCAAGTCATTTAAAGAAAAAGAAAAAAAAAACAAACACACACCCCCAGGATTTTTCTCTGTATCAGATCACAGAATAGATGGTTCCTGGCATCATTTTGCTACACCCAGCCTGTCCTGTCAAGCACTCAGTGGCTGTATGAAAAGAAATTGTAGTATTTGTCAACTATTAATTTTCTTCTGAGATGATTTTTCGGTCTTGGTAAGTAATAGCAAGAGCTAGGGAAGGAATTAGCAACTTTTTAAAGCCAATTCATATTTTTAGCAACAATGGCATGAAAAGCAGAACTGTATACTTTTCAGTGACCACAAAATAAATAAGTAAAATTAATTACCCAAATGAGACAAAAATACAAAGTGTCAAATTGTTTCAACCAATATTTTTGGTCTCTGGCTAAGATTTCACCACACTTAATTTGGACAGTTTTAAGTAGCTAACTAAGTGCAATGTAATAATGCCTCATCTGTCTGAACCCTTTAGTCCTCCCTTTGGTCAAAACTGAATAAACATTACAAAAGATTTATTCAGTTCTGCAAACGCTGAGCATTTCAGAAACAAATCAGCTTCTTAAAAGGCATTTGCTGCCTTTATTTTGGCTGATCGGGGAGTGGGTCTACCAGAAATTTTACACCTGCGGGCAACATCTGCAGTTCCATCCAAATAAATGCAACTTAAAGAACAAGCAACACTTACCCAAACACAGCAGCACCATTCACAAACCATACCTGAGATCTGCACCACCGTTATCTAATTAACGACCTTTTCATACTGTATAGGATCAGTCTGCTCGCAAAAGACTTAACAAGAGCAACAGAAAGAGATCATTTTGCTCAGCTACACCAGATTCTAGTGCTTTTTCAAAATAGTAATGTTTATATATGTATGTATGTACTCATGTATATTTTCTACAAATTGTTGACACTATCTGCAAGTGAGCATGGTGTCCATACCTGTGCTGTACCAGAGCATGGCACTAAGCCACTGTTGGATCTGTATGCCTCAACTGATGCATAATTTCAAATGCACACGTGCAAAAAATACGCTGATACCTTACAGCACACAGATGTTGCAAAAGAATTTGTTTGCAGAAGAAAGCCAGGGCAAAGACCCAAAGCCTGGAACTTCTTCAGATCTCTAAGTCACTCTCTTATTCAAAGCTTTTTAAAAAAATGATTACTTCTTAAATGACTTGGCACTCTTGCTACGACTTGATATGGCCATTTTTAACAGGGTCAGATCAACAACATGCTAGTCCAAACTCATATTTTCCTTCTGTTTATTTCTGCAGTCTGAAGTCCAAAATGCAAAGAGCATCCAGCTGCTTATACCCATACTTTACAGAAGCTTTCCCCTCCCTAAATTCAGAGCATTAATGAAGTGCTATGAAAATCTGAGAGCCAACTCCCAAGAGTTCAAGGAGTAAGATAGCACAACAGCTGTTTGAGGGAAGGAATGAGAGAGCCTCACATGTGCACGAAAGGACAACAAGTTATCTTCTGACAGGAACATAAAATTAGCAGAAGTTAACCTTCTACACTGTCCAGCAAGTTTTGAGAAGGACCAAGGAAATCTAAGACAGCTGGAATTAGAGTGCTCTCCTCTGTTTCAGCAAGTTTGGATATGATGGGAATTGGTCAGGTGAGATGTGACAAGGACAATAACAAAAGAGCAGAGATTGTACAGTTGTTTTAACCAACTACAAGGATAACATTTCACGATCACTTAGAGCTGCAAGTGACTTAGATGGCAAGGATTGCTTCTGGTTATCTGTATCCACATCAAGAGGTTTTGCCCATTGCTCTTGAACACGGAAAGCAAGCACAGGACAACTTGGCTCGCTGCAGTAAAAACTCCTGAGCAAATAATGCCACAATTTTGTAACCTGCACAAGCTAACAGGGCAGTCTGGTTAAGAACTTTTGCACTGACTGCATAACTAGATATGGCCCAGGGCCATCAAGGCTGAGACACTGAAACCTGTCCCAAATTATACTGGCACAACAGTCATCCACAGAGAACAAAATCCTCTTTGTAAAGGCTCTTACACAGTAAAACAGCAGATAGCATCATCAGGCTCAAAACAGAATTAGATAAATGCATGGATAGTAAGTCCATAAATGGGTACTACAGGAAGCAGACTGAGATGCACCCTCCAGCAAGTCTACCACAACCTTTGTGGATGCTGGCAGAGTAACAAGAGACTGCAAAATGTGTTGAGTTCACTCAGAATCTCCTATTGCCACTACCTGAAACAGAAGAGTGGGTCTTACAATTGCTCCACTTTCTTGAATTGTTTCTAACAGAAATACTGGAACAGATTTCAGGAGCATTGGGGAATTCTGGTGAGGGAGCTGATGGCTGGCAATTAGAGAAAATAGCATGTTGAATGGCAGGTTTTCTTTCCACCTAAAACAGGCTTGCCATCTTCCAAATTTTAATCAAGGTAACACTATATTCAGTCAATTAAACAAGTGTATTGAAGCTGAAGATTAGGAAGAAAAAAACTTCACATGAAAAGCCTCATAAGAAAATCCTTGTAATGTCTCACTGGGAAACACAAACGGTCTACGTTAACATAAGACAACTTACCATTCATTGTAACTGGAAACAAATTCTATTATAAAATAAAGGTAGTTCATTAAGCGTGAAAGTTACAGGACAGAAAGCAAAGACTTACCTCCAGCAGGTCCGACACGATAGGCAGTATTTCAGGGTTACAAATATCGATGGAATCATCCCGATAGGTCTTCTTTTTATAACGGATGTTTCCCAGATGTAGTATTGCAGACAAGAGAGAAAAAATTCTAAAGAAAATAGAGAGATCTCATTTTCATTTTTTTTCCTTTATTTTTTCCTTAAAGCTAATGAAAAAGCAAACTACATGTTCAATGCCAAAATTGGTTGCAAAACTTTTTCAAATATTTATCAGGATCCCATCACCATGAAAGCTGAAAAGCTACAAAAACACTTCCAAATTCTGTTTAAAAGAATGCAGCACTTCTCAGTCCATGACTTGTACAAAATATCCTGCCCTTTCCACAATCCCTTCAGTTCCCAGACATCCAAGTGCCATCTTCATATTTGACTCATCCTCTAATTTTTAGTCTGAAGCAGTTTCTGTCCCAAATCTCCAAGTGTTTCTTAAAAATGATGCTCAAAATAAGCATCCACTTTGTAATTTTTTTTCCATTTAGTCAAGTACTAAACTTGCATCAGTACAGCCTTCTTGAGAAGTATTCTGCAAAATCATTCAGGTCACCTAATTCTCAGCCTGAAGTTCAACACATTAAACCCATGGTTACAAAATGGCACTCCATATGAACTACAAAATGAAATCATCAGGATGAATGATGGCTGACTTCAGCTATATACTCCATTTGTCCCTCATTCTACACACTCTGGGGAGCTAAAAATGATTAAAATTGAACTTGATTCCTAGCCATGTCACCAGTGTGTCTGGACAACACAACTTCACCACTCCAAGCCTGTCCTTCATTATCTCTAAAATGGGGATACTGATTCCTCATCATGAATTACTTGAATGCCTTTATAAACAATTTTCTTCTGTAGCTGTTTCCACAAAGGTGAAAGCCCATGCTTTGCTATAAACAATCACTTCAGAAAGTAATAACAGCACTTAAAATGCCCTTCCCTTTTTTGCTCAGCTGGAGGTGGTTACTTTTTCTTGTTGAAGTTGCACAATGCCAAGTAGAACAGATTTGCTCATACAGCGAAGAATCTGCTACATTTTTTTTTTTAAGAGAGGCAGACATGCTTTTGACAACACGCACTAGCAGAAATACAAGAACTTGTCCACCAAGTAAAGTTATTGCACAGTAAATCAAAATGACATCCTACTCCATTCAGTCCAGACATTTACCGATTGCTTTACTCTGCCAATTAAAGTACCTTGCCGTACTGCAACCCTGCACTGTAAGCAGGCTTTAGAAAACCCTTGTCACTGAAACCTGATTCTTGCTGCATAACAAGTCACCTGGGGCAGAACACAGGAAGCAATTTGGTTCTGCGCTACTAGCTCCTTGCTGCTGCAGTATCTGCAAAGCAGCTTTGTCTCAAGTGGGATGCAGTGGCATTTGCTCATGGAGTGAAGATGCGTGATGCTTGCAGGAGAACGTGAGCATGTGCTTGGTGCAAAGCAGACACACGTGAAGAATAAGGGTCTATACTGACATATACCCTATTCATATTAAAAACATGTATATTTGGCTTATCTATTTGTGTGGAATGTATAGAGAAAAAGCAGTATTGATTTCAGAATTAATTTGTTATGCTTGGGATAAAGCATGAACTTACAAAAATGATTTTTGGGTAGGTGAAACAAGTTCTTATTGGATCAAAATGCAGGACAATGTCTCGCACTTTTAAGGGCTTATAGCTGGCTCAGACACGTGTTAAAAGGAAAGAAAAACAATGCTTAAAAAAGGAGGGAGGTAATCCACCCAATTGCAAAATAATGCTAGCTGTTAGCATCTTAAATGTCATCTACCCAAGGGTTTCAAGTGCCATTAGCACAAAGCAGTAATTCCTTGTTCCCACATAAACCTCCAGGATTTCCGATAAAGGAACAAGGTTCATTAAATTACCATTTGAACATTTTTACCTAAAAAAGCACAAGCTTTCTCACTGTGTTCCAGCTACTGATTTGCCTTTCAGCAATACTTATGATGTCAAGAAAAAAAAAAAAACACAACATAACACAACAAAATCACTGTAAGATCATTTTTCAATACCTATTTTTCTAAGCCTGTTCCTAACCTTAGTAACTTACTTGTCAAATTCATTCAAACCTACTTGAGACTTTGGAACAATGAAGTCAGTCAACGATTAACACAACAGGAATTACTTTGTGGTTTCAGTGAAGGACAATCTTCATGTAAAGCATGTAATTCCTTGCACTTGGTGGAAGACAGTATTGCAAGCCAACTACAAAAATCTAGGTTTTCAACTGGCACCTTCACTGTGTTGGTGAATGAAGGCCAATTGGAAATGAGCCCTCAAAACCAGCAATTGCATGGAAGGGGATTAAGTGTGATGACTAATAATCCGGATTTCTAATTAAAACAGGATCTGGATTCATGACATGCAGAGTAAAGCATGACTATTCATGAACATACAAAATATATTTCCAGGTACCAACTTCCTGCCAACACTCATTTTACATAAAGAGTCATTAACTACACTAATGATGGGCATAGTTTGCTTATGCCTTTATATTTTGTTTACTCCTTTATTGTACGAATGGTCAAGCACCATTCTTCTTTCTCACCAGCCTGAAACATTATGCAGAGCAAAACAGTTATGTTAGCAAAAATTATGTGATTTTTTTCTCACTATTTAGGGAGACTGTATTTACAGTAATATTATATACATATTTTATATTATCATGTTATTTCAATTAATCAATATAATCTCTAATATGTTAATACATGTTAATATGGAAAAGAAACTCACTGTCTGCGAGTCTTGGGAAGAAACCCCACCATCTCCATGGCAAGTTGTAGACGCTCAAAGTCATGCTTCAAGTCCTCCCCTTCGACGGAAAAGCAGTCCTGTTGGGGTCAAAGAGAAAGATTAAGCATTGACACAAATTGAGGTCAGAACAGGTCCAGATGGCCAAGTCAGCACTTCATAAATATCATCCTGTGATTTCCAAGTCTTTTATCGGCAACTAGGACATTTCCAATCTGGCACTGAGAAAATGAGATATACAGGAGGCCCTGTTAACACGATGCAGACTAACGGTGGCTAATTACCCAACACCCACCCCCTCGGACACTGCTCTGAATCCTGTTCCTGAGAGAGAGCACAAATGCACAGCACCAGAGCAGACAGAGCAAGAAGCACATACGTGATGCAATTAAAATCCAGGATTAGCTCCAGTGGTAAGGCACAATTTTTCTTCTTAAATATTGGAAAACATGTTCACAATTTAAAATCAAATAATAAATAACAATAATCAAGCTGTCTAGGAGAATCAGTTTTTCAGTAGTCTCTGTATAAGCAAATCAGAGTTGTCATATTTAAAGTAGCACTACTTGGCAAGAGTTTTGGACAAAAAACATATAGAAAGGCTGTGAATTAACAACAATACGCTGTGCATTGTTAACATTTACAGGCAGTTTATTCCACATTAAGTCCCGGTCCATTAAGAGTTCCTGTGAGTAAATAGGAAGAGTTCTGTTTTAAACTGCTTCAAAATAAAATGCATGTAATTCCATGTAATCAGTGAGTGAAATGCTGCATAACGAAGGAAAAATTTCAAACATTTTATTCACTATTCTAAAATGCTGGTGCATTTTCTTCGGGAATTTGAAGTCCACCACTTTTTATATCTCCCAGAGGCTAACGCGCAATGGCTAAACACTTTAGTTATCCAGATTCTCCTCAAACTGATGGAAGTCACTGATGCTTTCAAAGAAATCAGATGACTTGCTGAGTCCAAATAACACTGACCTACACCAATATTTAGAGAACATAGTGAAACTTACTCTCCTTAACTTAGTAAATGAACTAGCAATGCCAAGAACCTTTTGCAGGGTTTGACTCACCTTGGGTCCCCTTGGATTATTTATTATTCTCTCTCTTCATAGCCCAGATTTAATATTTTTCCCATTGCTAGCTACAGAAATCCCCAATCTCCAATTAGGTTATTATGTATCACACAATATAGTGTTATCTTAAACATCAAAATATTTAGTAACACTTAAATAGAGATTCTCTACAAGTTAATCCAGGTGTATAATTTAAAAATTGCTGCTGCTGCTGTAGTGACAATGAATTAAAGCAGCTACATCCACGGTTTCTTTTGGTCATTTGTCTGTGAATCATCCTTACACCATGAGCAAGCGTGCACAGACTTCTGCACAAACAGATCTGAAAATCTGTACTGAACAAAGCTACCATGAATACAAAAGTGCACATCATTAACCAGATACCAAGTAGTCTTAAAATATGTAAATCATAAATGTAGAATATATAAAATTATTTTATCATATCAGCTTTGCATCTCACAATAGATGCAAAGCAGGCATTTTAAGCCTTACTGAGGTATCAGTGGTATGTTCTTCATCCCACTGGGTAGCATCGGTAAACTGATAGCTACCAATTATAAAGAGACATTCTTACTTAAGATATTTATGCCAACATAGGAAATTCCTCAAACAGTAGTCCTGTCCCCTCAACTAAACACTCGAGAAGCTCAGAGCACTGCCATAAACCCAGACAACCAAAAATAAAATCTATCGTCGATCCTCAGGGGCAACAAGTCACTACTGCACTGCCTATTTAGAGATGTTGATGAACAGCAGAATCACTCTGTGTAATTTTTAAAACCATACCAACAATCAATGAACACAGAGTTTTAAAATAAACTAGAAAATACCATTTCTGCCTTTCTTAAGAAATACTTGCTAATGAGTGAACCTTTCATTTTTTGTTACAGGTTATTGAAATTTGCCCTCAACAGTAACAGATGTATAGGCTATTTGCACGATTTATTGAAAGGAGTGCTGTATTGACAACTACACTATATATCAGTAGGGACCAGCAATGGGGTTATATAAATCATACAATATCAGGATAAAACTTTTTCACTCCTAACTCAAACCTGGGCTGATTAGCATCCCTGGTCACTACAAATACGCTGCAGATAACTTGGAGGAGTTTTCACCCTCACTAAGGCAGGACCTGGAGGCTGCAGAACAAAAAATGCCTTGCAAATTCTACAAATAAGGTCTTTTTAAAAATCTTTTTAATGGGATAACAAGTGCCACTCCTACTGGCCATCCACATTCCCAGAAACAATTTCATTTTGTGGCATCATTCACTCAAAATTGAGTCACAAGACAACACTGAAATACCAGAGCAGACTCAAAAGTAGTACAATCTATGCCAAAGGCAATTTAACGAACAATTTACATAACAATTCCCAAACTCATTAATCTGTACGGAAAAGCTTTTTGGAAATTTTCTACTTAAAAGCAGATGCACTTGATAGTATTCCAGGTCTGTGCTAGGTACTGTTTCCTAATGGATGATTTTATATATATATATATATTATATATATATAAAATATACATACATATATATATATATAGTGTGTGTGTGTCTGTATAAATACACATACCTATATATGAGTTTCACTGATATTAGGGCAGACAAGTGTTATAAAATCTATGCCCACGTACCAAAATAGTTATTAACATTCTGCTGGGCCAATTAGTTTCCCAGAGTGTTCAACACTTGGAAACAGCTGAGTTCCCTGCTTACTGTCAAACTGAAGCAATCCCTGGATTTCCAGGAAACCCTTAAAGAAGATACAGAATGTTTCTTTATAAGCTGAAAGTGCAGCAGGTAGAGCCCATTCCTTTTGCCACTAGTCCCTTGGAGGGAAAAGGCCAGAGGATGTTTAAGAGCAAATCTTCATTGAAGCCAAGACGTGATCTACCAGGAACATCATGGAAAACAACCCTGAGCAAATAAAATACCAGATCAACAGCCAAATTGTAAGGGCACACAGTTTTGCTATGCAAAATAAGGCAACAAACCTGGGGCTTGGTTTTCTTGGCGTTCCTCCAGTTGATTGTCCTAACCCACTCCTAAAGCAATTAAAGTCTTTGCAACTCATTACAGCATCTTGAGGCATACAGAGAAACATCCACTCTTTGCTCTCTGGTCTCATAGAGCCTCATAATGATGCTAATACAATATTTGACATTTTTAAACCTCCGGAGGCTAGACTGCCTTCCCTTCCTCCTCTCCTAACGAAGGTTTGCATCTGAAGGCTTGCTGGCAATGTGCTGATTTAGCCTCAGAGAACCACAGCTCCTTACCAGATAACCTTTTCTTCCAGATACATTCACTGGGTTTGGCAACCATTAAGTGAACGGCAAAATTAGCACGGACAACATGCAGCTGGTTGAAAACATGCTTTCTGGTGCAAGACACAACCGACAGAGACCATCACGGGGACACAGCTGCAGGCCACACAAACCCAAAGCACACCACTGACCAAAGCCACCGCCTCTGCCTTAGATGCAAAAGAGGAGCTGAGGAAGGTAAGAAGCATCATGGTCCCTTTTTTGGGTAGATCCATATGGAAAGGACAGCAGAACTATTTTAGGAGAAGAAATTGTTTGCATTCTCAGTAATAGCAGGATTTGATTGTCCCACAGATGGCTGAGGGGTGCTTTTGGTTTTGTTGTCTTTTTCCTGGAAGCTGGATGGCAGATAGGCTGCAACAATCACCATACGTTGACGCTGAACAAGCCATCTCTTAGCGCTTCCAGAGGCTGATTTGCAGTTGTATCAGGAAGCAATTACACTTCTCACAATGCTTCCACATCACAAATTACTATGTGATGACCAATTTACACGAAACAATGTGTATTATATATCAGGAAGGAACAACTGAAAACTAGGTGACCGAATCCAAACCAAGCTGCTGAAGAAGCTTTCCAGATGGAAGTAAGCAAAAAAGGGCAACAGAAAGAGCATCTATGTTGTCACCAGATAACACACAAGCAACACCACCACAGGGCAGGGGAAAGGGTCATTAACAGGTTAAATTTCATTTCATTTCTGCTCGTGGCTTGTTGCACCTCCCAAATTCAAGTGAGCAAAAGGAGCAGCCCTGCACCAGCGACACAGAAGACGCGTGTACTTGTACTGACCGGCTCAGAGTCATAGCAATACTCATCCCAGCTCTGTCTGAGGGGTTTCTTTGTCATCTGAAAGCAAGGCAGACCGAGTTAAGTAGCATTCGGACCAAACACGACACCCACCACCGGCTCTTCAGGCAGGGCAGCAATGGCGACCTCCCAAGTAAAATAATTGTCACTATTCTGTGCAGTCATTCCTGATCTTCTTTTTCAGCATGAAGTAAGATTTATAGTTCTTTCAAGGCCTGTGATGCTCTGATTTCTGCTCCCAGTGTTTTCAAGGTAGTGGGGATTTCTCAGGCTATCAGCTTAATGAATTTTTAAGAGTATTCAACTGCCATGGTTGGAAAAATCTTTGTTTTGCTGAGAGCAAAGAGGTATTCAAGCAGAGTTGATTTTTGTTTCCAGTCTCAACCTCTCTCTAGACCTGTATACGTGCTGCAAAACTGAGTTCTTGGTTGAAAGCACTTTCTTTTTCTGAGTTTCTAGCTTTTTCCTATCAGATAGTGATGAACTTGAAAGGCATCACAGGAGCTCAGGACTTGCGCAGGCTCAGGACTTGGTGTTCCTGAGAGGGACACAGACACAGCACCGCAGCTCCTGTTGCAATTAAATATGGATCTAATACTGCAAATTACTAATTTCAGAATGGATAAATATGGATGTAGAACACAGAAAATATTTAGCAAATAGCAGGGTAGGACTCTTATCATTGGTATGAGACCGAGACGCCGTCCAAACTCGGGATATTTTAAGTAAATTTGATTTTAAAAAAACAAAAGTGAAAATACTTTTTGTCCAACCTGCTTCCTACATTTACAGATCAACAAAACGCTCCGTTATTTCGCTGAAGGACCTGTATAGATTATTTCTCATATGAAATGGAAAATACATTTTTATTTTGCGTAACAATGTGAGTTGAAGAACCTGGGAAAATAAAACAATGTTTGACTTGAGGATTGAGTCAGTCCTTGACTTAAGGGGCCTGATTCAGTATTTTATAGCTTTTATATTTTAGTATTTAATTTTAGTTACACACTTATGCTCACTTCTGGGCTTGTTCTTTTCCCTCTCTAAAATGCAGGGATTTCCCTAGGACACATTCAAGAACTTACTGAGAATGCTCAAGGGTCATTTTATTACTTTTCCCTTATAGGTCTGCAGAGTTTCTCTCCCCATTCATCCATTACTACTTTTACCTTCCTCCTCCTCGTTTTCCTTTTTTCCTCTTTTCCTACAGGACACGGGAAGGCAGTTACTGCATTGTTGGGAGTCCTAAATATTAAACGATGCACTGAACTCGTCTTTAGGAGCCATTTTCTCATAGTTGTCAGCGTTACCTGATCTCCCTAACATGAATGCTAAATGCAGTAAAATGATTATAGAATACCCCAAAGCCCCAAATGTTACTACTCTCCATAAACTGTGTTCAGGTAAATCCAGAGTCTGCTTCTTTCATCTGCTGGATGTACCTCAGCATCCTCCTGCAGCCTTCTTGCCCACAGCAGCATAATTTTGGTTAAAATAAACATTTAACAACCTAAAATATCACACTACTATCAGATCTACACACTACGCACCATGAAATTCATTACTATGCTTTAAATATTAATGACCTTAAACATTAAAATGCTACTAAATAAAGGGAAGGACTATAATTAAAAGCAATATTTTAGGCTAACACAGAACTACCGGATTGCCCAACAAAATCTGTGAATCTGACAAAACATTCCATCCAAATTATCTTGGCATTTTTTAGCTGAAAAACTGCAGCGCAGATGGTCGCAAAGAACACACCACGTTCTCCAACCTCTGCACTGCTTCCGAGCACAGGAGGCACAAACAGAGAGAGCAAAAGCATTAAACTCTTAGTATGTTCTTCATTTGAGCAAATTTCCTGATCCTGCTAAGAGTTGGTGGTAGCCATTAATATCACAATATATTTTGGCTTTGATAGTCCACTTTAAAAATCCTTAAAAAGCCCTGGATAATTGAGATATATTACAGAGCTAAATTATATTTCTAGAAATAAAGGTTATTTGCATTGCACACTGCATGTAAGTTGCTCTCCAACTTGTGGGCTAAATCAGTCTTTATTGCTAACCATGTCTCACGTCCAAGAAAACGGCAATTAGAGTTAAAATCAACATGTAACCTAAGTGCTGTTCCATGTCATCCTACGCCATTAATTGTGTTTTTGAACAAAAAGCAGTAAATTTCCTCTTTACAAGCATCAATGCATATTAAACAACTGACGTAAATTAGATTTTCTAAAGTTTGAAGTTAATTGGCCATTGGTAATACCTCACACATTTTTAATTCTGACATTTTCAATAGTTTTTATGTTTTTATATTAAGCTTCTTGTGTCATTAAATTCAAAGGCTCATGCAAACAGCCAGCCAAAATTAGGACTATCTTATTCAAGATACTACTTCTTAATGGTCTACTGGCATCACACATTTTTCTCTTTTCTTCTGCTCAGCAGACAGATGTTAATGACTAAACATTCATTCAGAGAACAGGTAGGTTATCACTGTTTCTCCCTTATATGCATTGTGTTTATAGTCATCTATTTAACATATCCCAGTTAGGGGACAGAAAATGGAAAACACTGATTTTTCCATACTATCAGGTGTTCAGATTGCCAACACTGATTAATTTCCAATGTCAGACCACTGCCTATAGAGCAGTGGACAACCCATTTTCATTACTGCACACATTTTCTTCATTAGCATTAAGCTTCAGCGGTGGAAAAGACAAGACCATGTACTGCCAGCACTACTGGTAGAGTATTCCCACCTGGTTGAGGTAATGATATTCCTCAGGCTGCTTAAGATGAAATGCTGATCTCTCTTCCTCACTTGCTCCTGCCAGGAGGTAATAAAATACATGGTAGTTCCTGGTAACAAAGAAAAAAAAGATGTTAAACATGAAAACAACCAGCAGCATTGAGTAGAGAAACACACATAAACCTCATAACTTCATTTTCCAGCTTCTGAACTTGGACTTGTGTGCAAAGTTTTAATCCATAGATTGGGAGAAGTCCCATGCTTTTTAGCTAGTAGGGCAATTTTGAATGAAGTTAGAATTTTAGGGAATAGCACAGCAAAATAAGAAACTAAAAAATTCATAAATTTGGAAAGGAGAAGAGCCGCTGAGTCCCATGTCACCAAAGCCCTCCAGATAAGAGACAAGCCCAATCTCCATCTCGTATTGGACTAATCTTGCTTTGATGCAGAAACAGATGAAAGCTCCAAAGACGATTTACAAAGATTTTTTAGATCTAACATATAAATATACAATAAAGCCTTCTGCAATGACTGGAACGCTCGACACTGATGGTGGTTTAGGAATGGCCTGAGACCACTGTACATCGATGCAAAAGATTAAACCAATTAATGGAGATTTAGATCTGCCTCTCCGTCCAAGGACGCCCACTCTCCAAGAATATACTTAAAGAATTCCTAGCTGACATCGTTGTGTTTTCCTCCAGAAACATGTGCAATATTTATTGGAATCAAAACACTTTTGCAATGCAGAAATTATTACTTTTTAATACTTCATTGCCACAACAAAGTAATACTTTTGCAGTTGCAGTTCTGCATGACAGAATGGAAAAATCTTCAATTTTTTTGGTTACTCAAATACTTGGAATACTTGAATTTTACTAAAAAAACACAAGTGACACTCATCTGTTTTGCTTCAAAACAACTACGACATGGATTAATGCTAACAGCATAGCAGAATGTAAAACCACAACTTTGGTTTATGCCAGACATTTTCCAAGAGAAATCAAGTTAATAATTACAGCACCCAACAGCGCATTTATCAAGTCTGAGGCTGTGTGTGCCATCTAACTTTGGGATCAATCCATCAGCATTAGAGAAAACTTCCCGCACATCTATCCCAAAAAGGAAGCACAGACAGAAGTGCCAGTAGTTGAAAGACAACATGATGGAGAGTTAGAAGCAGCAAATTTATTACAATCAGAATAAACAGTTACTGAAGAGGACGTAGCAATTAATATGTTGCAAGTAGGAAAGAATAATTTGCTTAAATTTGTTGTCTATATAATCTTAGCTTTTTCTAGAGGCCTTTCTGATGTTTTCAATCTGGTAAGAGCTATAAAATAGAATTAAAATGTCATCTTGTCCCCAAATTAGATATTAAGTAGTTTACAAGTTGTGCAAGAAAACAAATGGTATGTGATAATCCATATGACATTAATCATACAGACAATGGAAAATATAAGTCAAGGACTGTTAATAAAATAACAAAGTCTCTTTTCCCTGGGTAGTACATTCCTCCCTAAACAGGCAAGGAGACAGCAAAAACAGGCTTCTATGGCCAGACAGCATCTTAGGAAACAAAGCCTGAAACTAGACAGACTTCGGTGCCTGAGTCCAAAATTATGAATAAACACATGCATATAAATATAATAAAAAAAACAGCAGAAGTAAACATAACAAAAATTGCAACGAATAGGATTTTTTTTCAGTTTCAGATACACCTTCCCCATCACCCAGAGCACTACCAATGGTTCTGGGTACAGCATCCTCCATCTGTCTGGGGCTTCAAGGAGCACAAGTTGTTAGGCCCTGAAGATGACCAAACGAGGAGGGTTTGATGAAGATTTAATGCAGGACCTGTCACGAGGATTGCTTTAACCCTTTAACCCTATGCAACCCAGGGCTGGAGCTTTCCAGTCCAGCAGCTGGCTGCCCGCAGGCTTGCTGGCTGGCACAATGCACCCCCCACTCTTTGCTGCCCCATCCCACGGGATGTTCCCTTTGGAAATGGGAGTGGCAAGTTTCCAACAGCCCTGGCTGCAGAGAGCAAAACACCTTTCCCCCTTGGCTGCTGTTCTGCTAGGCTACAACAGCAGACCCTGTGCCTGCAGCCGTTTGAAAGATACAAATCCTGCTCAGTTATCTCAGCAAGTTTTTGGCAGCGTCCTTCCCTCCATGCACAGGTATTTGCTGCTTCACTGAGTCGTTACGGTATGTGTGACCACTGACGTGTGGTTTTTTTTGTTGTTGTTGTTTTTTTCTTTTTTTTGAATAAAAGACATTTTCAGGGGGCCAGCCCATGCGATGATACAATTTAGTGTCACCCACTCCGGACCCACACTAAGAGCTGTTGGAGTTTGGGCTTGTCTCCTCAAGCCAAGATGGTACAAAATGTAAACACGGACTTTATCCGTGAAGCACACGGCTAGAAGTGCGAAATCCCGATTCCCTGTGCCAGTTCAAACAGGGATTTAAGCCGTCTGCGCCATGCTATCAACACATTCAAGAGTCAAAGCCAAGCATGGAAGCAAAACACAGGCACCTACCGTTCGTTGTGCTCCTGGTACACGAGTCTGGACTTCTCCAGCAGATACTTTTCAACATAAGCACTGGAAGGAGAAATAAAAGCATTATTCATTGACCCAATATTCAACTTAAATGAACACAGCTTTACTGGGGCTTTTCAGTTTTAGTACACAAAAAAGTTTCAGCCTTGTTTCACTTAGTTATATAAATTTCTTCCTAGGCAGAACAAGCCCAATATTATGTTTGGCTTTTGAGGTTTTTTGGTTTGATACAAAGCCAAAACTAACTTGGATATGAAAAACATGATCTCAGACGAGTTAGCCTATGGGCAGGGAGTGCAGGGGGAAATTCTGACAGAAACTAAGAATCTCTGATACCTATTTAATCCAAAGCCAGCAAAATAAAATCGCTTGCAGACTGAAATTCATGCAGAAACCCTACTTCAACAAGAAATACATCTGGATGCAGAAGTTTGCAAGATAAGATTTAGCTGCAGATTCATTACCCAAATTACCACCCCCTCTCCCACAACAGCCACTTCTCAACAAAAACCTGGGTTATTAACTTGTGGCTACGGTCAGAAAACAACTGCAGAAGCTCCTTACTGGTGCTTACGTTTATCCTAACAGCCTCATAATGAACTTATTTCATCTACATATTAATACAAGGCTTTGCTAGCTGAAGCAAGCTTCGGCGTGTTCTCTGTTTGTTTGTTTGTTTTCTGTGCAATACCAACCAGTAACGATAGGGATTGAGAAACTGGAGCTATAATTGCCAATGGAGATGATGTAACACGAAACACAAAAGCAGAGGCTGGGCTTTTCCCAGCTACCGGCTCGCAGCGGGGTGGCACCGACACGGGCAGCAAGGTGCAAGCCCAGAACCCAAGGAAGCTTGGACATGGTAGGACAACGCGGTGCTCACATCTCCACCTCCAATGGGGAGGATGTTACCGGGGGTTCAGTCCCTCTCCTCTGCCTTCATGGAAAAATCAGCCACGTGGTCGTGCCCAAAGGCGTTCGATGACTCCTAGGGCAGGCAGCACTGAGGAGAGGCCACTGGAACAGGCACACCCTCGGGAGGCTCTTGCTGTGCAGGAGGAGTAAGGATGTGCAGACAGGCTGCAGCACAGCACCATTTTCCTGTGCATGCTGTGCACCACAGGTTTTTTTCTTGTTTATTCCCTGTGAGGAAGCCGACAAAAGCTATGGATATTCCTTGCCAAGAGGTTTCCTTTGCATCTCCCCTTCTAACCTGAAGCACGGGCTTGTGTTTCACCAAGTTTTCAAGGCAGGACACGAGGTTCCCTGTAGACTCAGGGAGTAGATAGGGTAACCCAGGAAGGTATCAGAACGTCTGCTGTAGGATGAGTTGGATCGAGTCCACTGTTCCTGACGTTTAATCCCTTCCCCTGTGATTTCTGCTCTTATTATAGACCCAAAATAAAGTCTTATACAATAATTTAGGTTGGAAGGGTCCTCTGGAGGTCATCTGGTCCAACCCAGTATTTAAAGCAGGGCCAATTTTTTTTTTTTTTTTGAGGTGGGATGGTGGGTAGATGCACACAAATGCTGTTCTGGTAAGATGCTTGCTCAGTGGGAAGGCCATAAAGAATACACGTCCAAGGAAAAAACTATGCCCCCTTATTTCAGTAGGATAGTGAAAAGGAAAAGAACCCATGTATAAAACAGCAAACCCCCTCAAAATCTTTTCTATTTACTGCTGTCAATGATACAGAAACCACCTTATCATTACTCACAGTTTTACCAGTAAAGAGTTTTTGAGAGTATGATTTCATGCAAAATATTCATTTAACCACGCTACAGAACCTGTACCTGGTATACCAGGTAATATCAACCGAAACTTGAGAATGAATTTCGCATACAAATACCACCATGCAAAATACCCAAGCACTGTGTTTGAAAGTGCTGCCTCTTGCTATTTGTGATACAGCCCCATGCTGCTGCACAAATTTAATTAAAATGTCTCCCATCTGGCTGTTCTGCAATTTTAAGGAGTATGTAAGATGTTGAGGCTTTTGATCATCTTAGGAGGACTGAACACGTTGCAACGACCTTCCTCCCAGTTCACTTATCACTGAACAGGACATAATAAATTCATAAAGCCTTATGGGAACGCACTTCAACGTAGCCATTGCTCATGCTCCACTGATTTCAAACGAATCTTCAAAGGCTTCATTTCGTGGGGTGGGGTTGGCTGCTACTAAATCTCTCAGCTATTACATCTCTTAAGTTGAAATTCCCTTCAAGTTTGGGTCATTATCTGCATATAGTTTGTAATCAAATATCCAACTGCTATTTTCAGCCTATGAACGGAGCAAAATTCTGATTCGGTACTGCAAATTGCACTTACATTAACAAAACAAATTGCATGCACAAAATGGGGACAGAGCTGATTTGTCTAAGCACAGATTTTAAGCACACAGTCTGACAAATTTTAAAAGGGTACTTGTGATCTTCCTCCTAAGATTATGGAAAAAATTTTTTACTGTCATAGGCCAGGAACAACTCACAGGTTGGTGCTTTTGTTTTGTTTTTTAAAGAAAAGGGAGAAAAATTGTCTTATTTTTTAGAACTGGAGCATACAAATGCAATGCTATTTGCAGGTAACTTCAAACCATCAAATAGAGGCCACTACCAGAGAGCTGGCACAGCACGCCAAGACAATACATTGCTATGGCATTTGCCGGATTCTACCCTATGCTTCCGTTTAAGTAGGTATTAAAAAAAATTGAGGCTTATCCTTTTAAGATAACTGTTCACCAGAGTTAATAACAGAAGAAGAGAAAAGGAAAAGAACATCAGATTAGAAGTTGGATGAAAAAAACAGCTGCCTGACTGCAAAGTACGCAGAGTACCCAAGCTCATTTGAAAAATTAATGGCATCTATTTGTGTGATACTATTCTGCTGGAAAGTAAGAAAGAAAAAAATTTAAAAGCCATTCTCTACAATAACAACAAAGTCTCAGCAAGAGATCTCTTAGCTAGCTGCAAAAATTACCCAGCCCCTGGAATGCCACATCTACTCTTCACTTCTCCAACTGAGTTAATTAACCCAGCCAAAAAGCAGAGTTAAGGCAGCACTGCTCTCTTAGAGCTAGTTTGAGTTGCTTCACGATGCCCTGACACCCTTAGGAGAGGCCAAAGAGAAATCCGGGTCCAGGTCTGCCACCCAGAAGCCTTCATCAGGCTGCAGCTTTGGGAAGCAGCAGCAACACTGGAAATAAATCCCGTGATGGTAGAGTGGAAAAACACGATGGAGACAAGCATCTCTTTGCAATAGCCCACGGAAAAAGATGCCCTAACTGGTCATGAGTTTGGTTCAAGAGGCACTTCAGGGTAGAGACAGAAGCATATGGAGAATTAGACCGCGATGCTAAGTAGTCTGGCTCCATCTTCTCCGTAACACCCAGCAGGCAGCTGGGAGGATTAAATCCCCCTTGGCTTTCTCTTCTGGCGACTGCACCCAGCCTCTTCCTGCCCATCATATGCTCCATCCCCCCAGCCCAACCTCATGGCCAACCCTAGCTAAAACAATCCCCTTCCTGCCTTGCTGGCAGAAAACTTCTCTTCTTCTTTGGAAGAAAAATTCCATTTTGGCTTAATTACAAAGTTAACACCATGATTAATGAGATCTGGACTGGCTTAAAGCCAGCTCAGGTGTATTCATACTTTAATGTGCAGCATAGGTACGCCAACATTTTCATAACATTTAAATATGCTAAAAAAAATATACGCGTTGAATCCGATTTCCGCTTACCCTCGCACGGTGCCCGTCTCCTGATAATTCACTTGAATAAATTTGCCGAAGCGACTTGAGTTGTTGTTATGCGCAGTTTTTGCATTTCCAAAAGCCTGTTAAAAGAAAGAGATACCATCAGGACATTTGAAAAGCCACCACCTTTCCTTATTTCTATGCTCATCGCTAATAACTGACTTTCCAGATTTTGCTGTCATCGTATCATTAATAAAAAACACACGGCAAAAGTTAGTTGAATGGGCTACAACTAAATAATATGATGAGCTTCTGGGGACCACATTCGTTTTCAGTTTGGGATTCATGAAGGACAGATAAACACTCTCTAAAAGTAAAGCACAGCTATACATGAGATTTAATATTTGAAGTTATTATATTCTATATTAAGATTATACTTTATTCATTTAAATAGATATAAAAGTACGCTGCTCCAACAAGACTAACTTTAATGAGCTAAAGGAAGCTGCTTTTTAATTATATATGGAATTAGGGGAGAACACTTTGAAGGCTTCTCAGATGTTCGACAACGTTGTATGTAACACCGACAGTGCCTGTAGTATCCTCAGTATTTCAGACACTGTCGCTTCGATTTGTCGCCGCTGTTTTTCCAAAATTGAAATGCTTTTAAGGCTTTATGACACAAAGCTTTCATTAAAACCCTGCCTTACTGAGGCATCTAATACAGACTCATTTACCATTGGTTAAAAGAAACCCCTAACCACAAGAACTGTTGGAAACCCATAAGAGTTGCATCTCCAACCAGCTTAATTGAGAACTGGTATTTGCAATTGTGCCTAAATCACTTTAATAATCTGGCCCACGGTGACAGAAACTGTCATGCTGCCAGGTACAATTAATGCTTCATTTATTACATCGGTTTTGGTAATCATTCACCTCTACTCCCAAGCCAAACCTATTTAAGGCAGTTATACGCAGAGTAATTCCGGGAGTTGTGTATGTACATTGACTCACAGACACATTTTGTGCTGATGTTCAACATCAGCGTTCAGCTCCGAGCTCCCAGCAGATTTATTTCCTACTCAGCTATTTATTAGAAAAGATTAAAAAGGCTTTATATCTATAATCCCAACCTTCTCAAATGACCTTTGCAGGTTTTATTTTGCATCTAAAAGCTAAAAAGAAAGGCTAAACGAAAGGAAAGGCACTCCCTGAAGGCACTCGCCCCCTCCCGTGCATCGTGGGCTCCCCATCAGGGGGATGCAGCGGAGCGGCTCCGGGCTGCAGAGATTTGGGTGCCCAGAATGGTGTAACCATTTTCCTCAAGTGGCACCAATAATCATGCAGAGTGTTACATCCCAGCCCCGGAACTGCAGGTTTGCTAGCATAATGGTGACGGACCTCCCTCCCCCCCCCCCCCCGCCCCGTCTGAATACACACATTTGTATCAGCTCATGCTGTTGCATATGAATTTGCCTCGGTTGACTAAAACAAGTTCTGCAATAGCAGAAACCTGCCAAACGAGCAGCTGATGGCTGTGCTTGCACAGAGAGGCTGGTTTCATAACACTAATGAGTGTTCCCATGTACAAGTCTCCAACCTTTTCAGGCTTTACATACTTTGTTTTCTGATTTTTTCCCCCACATCACTGCTGCACGTAGGGGCTTTTCCCCCAGCATCCTCTCCTGCAAGGGCCCTGGAACCCTCCTCATGCCCCCAAAACCTCCTCCTGGCCACTGAAACTCAGGCATCTGCTTCTCCAGAATGTGCATGTTCAGATTAAAAGTCTAAAGCTATTTCAGTGTTGTCAAAGGATTTACCTGTCCCTTGCAGGTGTTTCAGCTGAACGGCTCAGCGAGCACACGCAGCAGCGTTTAAGCAGAATACAGTGATATTCAACACAACAATATTAAAAGGGTTTTCTGGTTCAGCTCCCTTTGCTATAGCACAAGGAAATGGCCCAAGGGGAGAAGCAAGTCTGTTTATTGGGATTTCTTTGAGCAGAGAATAAAACAGAGAAAGCTTCCCACCAGCTGCAATGCTTCCTCCTTGAGCGGGCACAGGACCTGAGGCGATCGCAGCCCCACCTCCACGCAGCAGGGCTTCTACCTCAAGGTGATGTAGTATCAGCAAATTCCCGAATCCCCTTGCTTCCCAACAGGGTGGATTTCTCTTATTTCTATTAAAACAGATTCAGGATAAACTGTGTCGAATGTGTGAGTGGGAAACTGCAGGATTCCTTTTTTTTTTTTTTTTTTTAATGAGGAATAGGTTTCATGGCTTTTTCTGGATTAATATGCCAAATTATGTTATATTTTATAACCCAAATGCCCACAGAAATCGTAAGCCATAGTGTCTCTCTTTCAGGGATTTTCTGTATTCCTTGCGTAAATGAGAAAGCTCTCTGCATCCTGCCTTGTTAAAGCTGAAGCTTACTCTATGGCATAGGCATGCTGGTAAGGGGCCAGTAAGTAGCTCAAGACATGTCTGATGTTTAACTTGAGACAACTTAATACATTTTTGTTAGTTTTACTCACCGCATTTCTTTAACAGAACTCGCAGATAAAAAAAAAAAAAGCATGATTAATTCAATTTATGCACGTCTAGTCTACATATGCTTGAACAACACCCTACGTTCTTCTGCAGCCAGCGATGATGGGGCACAACATTGTTCAGCCTCGGAAAACAGAGAATGAGTTACAACTGCTTCACTAAAATTAGGTTCTGTTCACATTATTTCACTTCTCTAACCCGTCGATTCCAAGCTGTTCGACACTCAGCGGAAAAACTCAGTAACAGCATTCCTCAAATTCTTGGGGAGACCAAAGCTTGTCCTGGCCGGAGCTCAACACTCTGAAGGAAACGAATTCAATACGCTCCTCTGTGCGAGCAACGCGTCCGTCTGGAGCGGCCGCTGGTGCTCCAACGGCTCGGCAAACGCAGAGGAGCGGACAGCCCCATTCCTGGTACCTCCTACAGCACTTCTGCACAAAGAGATGCTTATCGTGGACCAGGCTGGGAGCTGAACGTTTGCACCACAGGCTAATTCACCAGGCAATATTGTTGGCGATGAAGACTCAAAAATGAGCTGTGTTCCTGAAATTGTGCAACTGCGTCTGATTGAATCTCAAAACCTCCTTGTTCAGCTATAATCTGCTCCGTCGCCTTCAGGAACGCTCAGCGTTTGCTCATTCATGGGGCCCAGGAGGCAGGAAAAAAACCACTAACGTTTTTGTGGCTCAGTACCTGCCCTCCCTCCTCTCCTGATCCCCAGTGCTTACGGTCTCTTCATTTTGGACTCAATACCAGTGCAATCTGGAACGTTGATCCAGAATAAGGGCCATCTCCGGGTCTTTCCTGAAATAAAATTGTTTTCCAAACCCCTTGCTCTTGCCTTGCTCTTCTGTAATGACAGTAACAGGGCATTTTATAGGTAATTCTAGCTGAATATCACCCCTGCATAGAGTAAGAGCTTCCGCAGAGCAGAGCGGGTAGGAAGATACATGCCTTGGGTATTTAAGGTCCCCTTTTTTTGCACAGCCTTTTGCAGATGAGCCTCTAACACTCAGCTCTATTTTTGATGCTGCTGTCCTTAGAATGAAAACTAAACAAATCCAGCATTTTATCTTTGTTATTTAGAGCTATGTATTAACAGCCACGAGTTTGAAAATGCCCAACGTGCACAGCATGGCAAAGACTATGAAATTGGTACAGAGATTCAAGAATAAAGTCTCTGAGTAAAGCAGGACTGCTTGTAGCTACTGCGTAAGCCAGGAGGAAACTCAAAGTGTCGGCATAACGAAACCCAAGACTGAACTTAGACCACTGAGCATGACGTCTGCTGTCACAGCCACATGTTTAAATCTCCACATACATCGGTGTTGTTAAAGCACAGCAGCAAGGTAACGAGTCCGCCTGACCAGATGCCCAAAGAGCCCAAGCCCTAAGACATGGGGAATGCAGCGAAGAGGGGAAAAAAAGGTGAAATTGGAAAAGCCTATTTGCTATCAAATAGGCTCAGCAAAGGACAGAGCCAGGAGGAGGTGGACAGGAAAAAAGCTGCGCAATGCTAGGGACACTTATTTCAAAGAGAGCCTCCATAAAACTTAATTAAAAACCATGACAGAACAAAGACTCTGTTATTAAAATACATATATATATATATATCATTAATATTGAGTTTGCTGACCTGTAACAATAGCTACTGAGCACAATAAAACAAGCACATCATCACAAAAAGTGATTAATAGCAGGAAGTTCCCTTTGCAAAGCAAGTCAACTAACTTCTATGCAGGAAAGAACAGCCCACAGGAAAAAAAAATGCATCTTTACATTTCACCATGCTGCTAACACTGCTATGTCTGTGTGAGCTCCACACAGAGCGCTCACGGAGTTTTTAACTTAGCCTGTGCAGTTAGGAGCTCCTTTCTGCATCTTCAGACATAAATACATAGATGTTAAAGACAACTTTTGCTTGATTTGGTTCAATCTGCAACCAATTTCACAGCACTCATCCTGCCAGGAATCTTTTTTAACAGAAATGCACTGAACTGGGACCAGAACAGTGATCACTTCATCACCCAAAATGCACCTGGATGACTTGAGTTAGAGCCTCCCTACATTTCCTCTCGTTATAGCTGCCACAATAACAGCAAAAGTATTTCTTTTACTTAAATACTTTTATTTTAAATTCTCTTGTTTGAAGACTTCCATTTAGAAGAAATACTTCTTTTAAGCCTGCAGCTCACCGCATGATACAGCTCGTCAACCTGAACTGCACTGCTCAGTCGCTCCAACAAACCTCACCCGACTTTCAGTTTCCATAACCTGTGTGAAGCAGAGAGCAGGGCAGCGAAAAAAAGTGCTGAAACCAAAAAACACGAGGTGCAACTCGAGTTCTGCAAACCAAAAGAGGATTTACGTTTATTATGTTCATTTTGCGGGACATCGTTCTGCATGGGCAGGCACCAGCACTCAAGGTCTAGGCTACAGCAATTAAATACCAGGTCGAGTGCCGACACCTCACCCTTTAATTCTCTTCACTGGGGCTTGGTGCTTCACACAGCCTAATGAAACCATTTATGCTTTTATGGAAACCAGCACAAACCACCAAGTATTTATAGTGCATGTGCTGCAATGC